TGGAGCTTCCCAGCACCCGACTTTCAGACTTGAGTTCAGAAGTGTTAAAAAGAAGTGGTTATGGTTATATCCCACTTGCAGTTGAACTGTTTTTTTCGTTCTTCCTTGACACCTTTTGGGCCATCGCCACGAAATGTGATCGCCTGAGTAGGCGCCTCGAAGTCTTGGATCTTGCGCTCCGACTTCGAGGCCGGCGGAGCCATCCGGCCGCCAGTGGGGGAGACCTCTATCCAGGCCACAGGGGCGTGGAAACAAATTTCCGCGGGTGAATTGTAGCTTTAAAACCCAGGGATCACTTACTCAGTTGTTCAGTGGCTCCCTTTTTCCCCTTTTTTTTGGTGGCTGCCGCACTAAAAATGGTCTTCCCAAAAAAGGGTTCCCTTTTTTTCCAGGGTCACTCAACAACTGAGTGTATAATTAGAGACGACCATGGGATATTCCAAGTAACGTGTTGGGTGAGAGCTGAAAAGGACCTAAAGAGTTAACGCATGGCTTGGCTATCTTTGTAGCCAAATCTCGCCGTGACCATAGGACGCTGTGTATGGCTTTGTATTTTTCTTGAGGGGGCCCCCCTTTCTAGAGGTTTTTTCAGGGAAACGGACAGGAAACCTACAGGGGACCGTGACCTCCAAATGGTTTTGGTTCCCTTTCGTTTCCCTTTCAACCCACCTAGATCAATGGTACCCTTGAAGCACCCAAATGGCCCCTTTTCTCTCAAGGAAAGCCTTTTTCAAGATCTGCTGGTTGAAACCAAGTTTGCCGAACCCTGATCCAGGCAGAGGCCAAGAGATATTTGCAGACGCTCACTTGCACGGCTGATGCTTATTTTGGTGTGTTTTGACATATGGGACCCCCCCACAAAAGAAAAGAAGGCAGCTTGCCCGTGGCTTTTTGCCTTGAACCCGAAAAGGTACCCTCAGCAAAAAGACACATGAATGAGCACCTGGTATGTTAAGACTGTCCTAATGATGGGAAGCCAGCCTAATGAGAATTTCAAAGAAGGACTCAGTTGGGCAACTTAGTTCGTGACCTCAGAAGGGTTCGTTGTTTGCCGTACAAGGCGAATCGACTGTGCGACCGGTTGGTCCAATCTTGGTATTTGATTTGACATTAGGATCTCTTTTGACGTCCCGGTCCCTCAGGAATGTCAGTGAGTTGAGGTGTTTCATCCTGGCTTTTTGAACCAGCCTGTCCTTAGATTATGGGTGAATGTGTCAGCCCAATTTCGGACCCTTCGGCGCGCGCACTTGTCCGGTCCGAAAAGGGCTTGGGGGTTCTATTGACCAAGTGAGGACGGATCATTTGGGCTATGTCTTGGCAGCGTACAACAACATGCTGCCCGCCAATCTGGGGATCAGCTGCCATCTTATCGGATTTCAGGTGACCGCGCATGGCCCTGCCCGCAACCACGTCCCAGTAGACCCAGGCGGCGAATTGGTTCAGTGCCCTTTTTCGGGGGTGTCTTGGAGTCTCTCGAAATGGCGGACCCCGGTTTTTGCTGTATTTGAAGGGGAAGGATTCTGATGGTGAGCACCAGCTACAAGCTTTGGGCTTTTTGCCCTCCAGAGAGGTGAGCAGCTGTGGGCCACCGCTTCGGACAGGTTGCTGTTGGGGATACCTGGGCTTGTTGTTTTGGGAAGCCGACCCATTTTGAGCCCGACTACCATCCTATGACAATAGAACCACCCACTTGGGGAGCTATGCTTGGTGGTTGTGTTTGGTTCACGGAGGGTACGCCGGGAGGCCAGAAGACGGGCTACTGGTCTGGTGGTGGCATTGCTTGCCGCGTGGCTTGTGACGATTACTTCGTAGTTGAGGTGGGCGGTCCTGGCGGCACGAACCAACCGCTCACCGCCGTGAGATGTTTTGCCAAGTCCCCGTTTCCGGAAGAGCCGAAACTCGAAGGACGATGGTAGGGGGGTGGATGGCAGGGGGGTTGTTGGTTTTGTTTGAAATATATTTAGTAGTTGCTTTCTTTGGTGGATGGTAGTTGTATTTGTTTCGTTTTGTCGGTACCCTTTTCGATTAGTTTGGAAGGGAAACGGACGAATACAACACATGGTTTGTGTCGGAATCCTATGTGTGTCATCAAGGCCCTTGTTCCGTCAACAACTCAAGAGGTGTCGTTGTTTGCTTATTTTTTGCAGTTCCGTTTTTGACCAATATTTTTACCACCAAGGGGACCATCCTTTGCAAAGATCTTTGACCCAGGAACGCCGTCTATTTTGGTGGCTATGATTGCAACTTCTTTCCGTCCGAGCATACTGCCTGGGTCTACAAGTGTCAACCCCAGAGTTGACGCGCTTGCAATTCGGGCGCTAACTGTTTTATGAAGCACAGGGCCATTCTACAGACAAAAGTCTCTAGCCAGCGGCTGGCCCTTGCAGCCAAATCGGCGGAAGGTGGGAATGAAATGGCTGCAGTTTTTGCGCCATTGCAGGTCCCATTGCGTGTCACCATGTGCCCTTTTTGGGCTTTTTTCAAGGGAAACCAGCAGACAACCACTGGTGGTGCGCTCCATTTCGAGACCTTCCCTCGAGTCTTCCCGTGACCACTTCGAGTCAATGTCGCTCGCTGGTTGAAGCGAAAAGGGCCAAGTCCTGAGCGCAACGTCGAGGCTCCGTTTGGGTGGTTCTCAAGCTGGTGCCCCTTTTGGTTGGTTCAAAGGGAAAGCAAGGGAAACAAACCATTTCAGGGGACCAGTATTGTGAGAAACAACCATTTCGGATGATTGTGGGGTCTCGTATTTGCCACGGTTAAATATGTGCCGCCATGTGGTTGCCATTCATGGAACCGATGCCTGAAATGGCTGTGGGTCAAAACCAATGGTCATTCCAGTCTATTTTAGTGGGAATTGGGATGTTCACTGGGGGTACGGGTTTTGACCCATGGCCAACTGTTGGACATGTGGGATGTGCATGGTTTTGCTTGGCGCTCGAGATGTGGCACGTGTGTATGTGCAAGAATACACATAACGACTATACATATATACATTATATGTCCAACTATGCAAACCCCGCCAAAGACCCTCGTTTTGGGGCCTTCTGGTGATGACGAGATGTCCCTATATGATACCCTTTCCAAATAGGATTTGTTTCTTCAACTAGAATTGGACTGTGTATTTTTCCAGGATATAGGTTTCCCAAATGTGTTTGATTTTCAAACATGGCTTAAAAAAACAAATCCTTTCCAAGGGAGTTACATTGCAATGTAAGTATATTGTCGGGCAAACTCCAACTAAGATAGGGGTTTATTCCCAAGTATGAACCTCTCTTCCCTTGAAATTTCCATTTTGGAACACCACCTAACAGGTTTAATGTCGGACCTTTCTTATGCTACAAAAGGACCAGAATGTAAATAAACACAAATAGTATTGTGCGATTCCTTGTAGAAGTCCTTAAATGTTTAGCCATATAAAAGCTATCTCAAAACAGGGATTCTAGCTAAATAAGTTGCATTTAACGTCTTATTTGGGCAGGAAATCACAATTCATTCTATCTCAAAAGGCGGAGGTAGTAGATGAGCAGAGGTGGCCGGGGGGGGGGGGTGACGGTGTGTGAACATATACAAATATATAATTATACGTATGTGTATATATATATATATATTATACACATACATACAAACATATAGTACCGCTCATGATCCTGCGCCCGATCATAAAATGCCGGAAAATATCGTGTTTTCAGCATTACACCTACCGTTACCTCCTGGAAACGGGTCGACATGAACATAGCTTACATGAAGCACGCAAAAGCACTTGAACGTTTGTCTAAGTAAGAACTTGAAAGCGTTTCCACTGGATCGCTAAGCACTTGAAAGTATATTGCCACTGGATGGAAGATTCAAGATTGAAGATTACACAGAAAGCTTTCCTGAGAATAGTCAATCCTGGCCAATCCCAAACAACATTCAAGTTCTTCTAACACTTGAAAGTGCTTTGCCACTGGATTGAGGATTCAAAATTGAAGACTGCACAGACAACAACTTTCCTGAGAATCATCCATCCCGGCCTTCCTCCAAACATCGTGCAAGTTGTTCTAAAAGCTCGAAAGTAATTTACCACTGGATTCAATATTCAAAATTGAAATCTTTCACGGAACGCTTTTCCGAGAATCTTGTCCTCTCACTTTGAATCCAGAAATTGCGGGAACTTGGAGGGTTGCAGATTAAATGCATATGACTGCAGATGGGTGCGCATACTTGGTTGCAGAAGTATGTATTGAACACCTGGAGTATTCGGACAACCCCGGAATGTTTGATTTGTTAAAAGAATGGGCTTCAAGATTCAAAATTCAATATTCCCAAAAAGGATTCTTCTCAGATTTTTTGAACCTTGAATCCCAGAATGTTCAATCAGTTCTATGAGTTCCAGCGTCGTTCCAATACTCTGAGATGCATGCAGACTCTATCAGATGGCAGATGTTGACATCGTTGCTTACATTACATATGTATTTTGTATATTTGTATTGTGTGTGTTTTGAAATCATTGCCGACACGGTGTATTCATTTGTCGGCAAGGGCAATAGTGCCAACTGGCAAGTCTTTCTCAGTGGTTGGCACCAAGGAGCGCAAATGGAGGGCCGGCTTCCTGCACTGAACGGGATGGCCGAAGTCAAGCACCAGCCCGGCACAATAAACCCCACTGAACAACACAAGGAACAAGAATACCAAAAAGGTTAAAAGGAAAGCCTCAGGCGCAACTCGAACAACATAATCCTGATCCAGCCATAAACTGGTTTTGGGATGTCATGGTACCATTGATACAATTTGGGATGATCCTTCAGCGTCCAAGGGTTGGCGCAACAGCGAGCTCGACGAATATGGCCTTGAGCTCCTGTTGGCTTGTTGTGTGTCTCATGTTCAGTTCAGGAACAAAAGGTGCATTGGCATGAGGTGCCTCCCGTGCACTTTTTCTGGAACCTGACAGGGTTTATGGAAAGCCGCTTAGACGTCCCTGGGCTACCTGGCTGTCAGACAGACGGGTAGCCTGATCTGAGGTTCAGCGTTTGAGGGCCACGTCCGCAGCCCGCAGGAAGGCCAAGATGGGTTCAACGAGAGGCTTTCCGTGAAAGCACCCATCAAAGCTGCCTCACGGTGGATGCATCCGCTTTTGCAGCTACAGGGTTATAAACATCTGGAAAGAATGTTAATTTGATTTGCCTTTGGGTGGGGGTGATGGACCAGTGGAAAAACGCCCTTTTAGGCTGGACGCCAGAGAATTCCACTAACAGCTCAAAAGGCAGAGAACTCAAAAAAGAATTCAAGATTCCATTTGGGTGCTTTTATTAGGGTACTTGGTTAAAAGGGAGGCCAAAAGGACAACCCATGTTGTGCGTTTCTCCCTATCACTATGTGGACACGCGCATTTCGATCAGTGGGGACAAAGTGACTTGATCATGCGAAAGGCACCACGCCTTTCCACACGCGATCGGGGATCAGACGAGTATGTGTGGGGGGGGGTTGGGCCGTACATGGTTAAGCCACTACTGGTTAACCCCTTGGATTTTACTGGGTATCGGAGCCTTCAGTTGCCTTCTCCCCTCTCCGGATTTCGCGGTGATGTCACGGTTGCCAGCTGCATTCCATCTCCCTCTTGTCATTGTGCAAAAGCTGGGGGCTCGGCAATTTTACCAGGCCAGGCTCCAAGCACTGTGTAGACGCAGTGTCCAGTATCCAGGTTCGCTTCAGGGGCTGTCCGGATTCCGGCTTGCTCTTCGTTTGTTTTTTTTGTGGGGTCCCTTTGTCTTGTCTTTCCGGGCGCTTTGTTATCACTTTTTAACTTTTACGTCCAATTTGAGCTGAGTTTGCTTAGAGGGGCACTACTTGGGAACCTTGCCTGATTGTGAACTCAGTTGTTTCCCTTCAACACATGCTACTTGCGATTCCCCCACAGAAAACCCTGGTTTTCAAAGTTGTCATGTGGTTGGTGTTCAGTGTTTGGAGATCAACACAGGAGCATGTCATTCTGGAGGGCCGGACGGGCAAGATTGTTTCAACCCCTAGGTCAAGTGTTTTGTTTTTAACTGTGGGAGGGTACCGTTTAGCGTTTCCCACACGCCCAAAGGTCGCCAAAGATGCAGACGGCCTACAGCCGCCTGGCAAGACTTAGATGGGAATGAAGCGGAAGGGGACCGCCAGTTGGATGTCTCAGTTCGGGTTCAGCTCATTTCCTGAAAAACCAGCAAGAAGTTAGAGATGCGTTTGTTCTGCTGGCGAGGTTTCCCTGTTTTGCGTTTGGGCCACACGGAAGCCAATCACTTTGTGCGAGAGGCAAGGAGCGTTTGCCGGCAAGAGTTTGCCCCGCGGGCGAGCGGAACATCTGAAGCAATCACGGCGTGCGATCAATAGCAGCCAGAAATTGTTTTATATCCAAAGTTAGGAAACACACACAAGTTGTTCGTGTTCTTTTGCGGGCCCCTTGTTTACCCAGGCTTTTCTTGTATCTTTAGAGTCAACAGTGTGCCGAGCTGTCAATGTGGGGGTCAGGACCTGGGCTCCGGGGACGAGACCTCTGGTGTTGGATCCGGAGTGACACGCCCGTTTTGGACTTTCGAAATGAGATCGAATAAGACGTAGCCAAAGACGTATAAGACGTATCCCGTTGAAACACTGAACAGTGAAGCTTTCACTGCGTCTGCAGCCAGACTCGAGGTACGGTCGACTTCTTCCCCAGTTCCGTTCCCGAGGTGAGAGGAGAGGCCGGAGATTGGAGAGAGCTGCACGATGAATTGAGCGAGTCAGGCGGACATTGACATGTTCCACGCAATGTTGACTTCGGATTCATTAATCGCTGGTGGATTCATAGAGGGTTTCATGGTGTCCCATTTACGAGGGTTGTTTATTGTTTGGGGAACACTCTCCCAATGAATCCGTAAGATTTCTTCATCCGCACACAATTGAACAAGGGCACCGAAGTATTTCTTCAGCTTTCTGGGAAAAGAAGTCCTAAATCGCAGGCAAGCCTCTAGAATGTAGGTAAGTTATTTTCTTTTTTTGGGTTTAAGGGGTTGTTCCTTTGGTCACCACTATGGTGGCTGGTAGCACTGGGAGCGGTGCTCTGAATTCTTTTGCTGAGCGGTGCTCTGAATTCATTGCAGTGATCACAATGTGGTAGTCTTGCGCTCCCCCTTTGTTGGGTCAGTTTGAAGAGAAGCCAACGATTTTTGTGGGCAGAATCTCTATTTTGACATATTTTGACACACCCTGCTGAATTTGCTTGGCTTCAAGTCTTTGAGGGAGCCACGCTTTTTTGTGATTGGATCCTCTCTGGATAGCCGGATTCGTTCAGGAATTGTCTCCTCAGATTTTTCGGATTTGGGGACTGCCGACCAAAAGGCCGTTACAGCCAGTAATGTGTAACGCTAAGCCTATCAGGGCCAACTGAAAGGAGGGGATGCTGAAAATAGCTGCCTTGTGAAATCCGTGCAATTCCACGTTGCCGGTTCAAATCTCACTGACAAAGTAGACGCCAGTTGCAGTTTTGCAAAGAAGCAGGGGTTTCCTTTTGACTCTGTTTGGAATCAAAGGGATCTGCTCTAGGTGGAGAACCCTGCTCAAAGCAACTTTGTCAAATTTAGTTGAGTCAAGAGGCAGCCGCTGTCATTGTCCTTTTTCTGAAAGGGCATGCGCAAGAAGCGGGAGGTGGCGCGTGACCGTTACAGCCTGCTGCATATCTGCCAAAACCTGCCGCCCGGGGGCCCAGTTCTCACCGATTCGAAGGTGTTTCCAAGACCATCCCTCAGTTGGGGCGTGTCCTAACATGGGGAAATTCGGACATGGTGGGTTTCTGTTCCGTGTGCCCAAACCCAACAAAGGGGGAAACAACGACGAGCACAAAACCTCCAGCAAAGAAGCGGCAAGCGAGGAAAGGGCTTGGAGGGCTTTATCAAGTTGGTTTTTTGGCTGGTTCGGCCTGGTTTGGCTTCTTGCAAGGATCTGCATGCAGGAGATTGGGGTTTGGGGTTTTCGGGGGGGGATGTCGTGGACGCAGGATTTTTTAGTGCCGCAAGTAGCCTCTCTCCAACATACAGATGAACATGAAATCACGCATCTGGGTTGCCTGGGGTAGACTTAGGATACATTTTGCATTTCACCAGTGACTCAAAGTGAAGCAAACAATAAAATACACATTCTGTCTCCGGGCCTAACTCTTCTCGTGTTGCTTTCTCTTCTGCCAGTGGCCTATTTGGGGGGCTCGGGCAGCCGAAAAAAGGACCGCGATCCGCGATCCATTTCGTTCCGCGCGAGTGAGGTCCCGGCTCAGCCGCGGCAATTGCCAATGAACTGAGGACGGGCAGATTTCCTGACTGCTAGTAGGTTGGATCTTTAGACATTTTGACTTTTTGGTTGAACAAATGGTGTGTTTGCCTCAAGGGGTAAACTGCATCTTGGCATTGTTTCCATTGGACCATGGGAGTGGCCCGAGGGTCGAACATTTCACGGGCCTTATGCCAAACATCGCAAAGAGTTGGGTGCCGCTGACAGAGGCAAACACAGACAAGGCGCAGGGTTTGAGGTTTTTGAGCTTGGTTGCCTCACTGCCCCAGTTTCTGGAATTGATATATTTTCGCCAAGACCATTTCGCTGGCGAGTTGTGTTTGTTGCACTTCCACCCAGACACTCGCTTCCGAGGCCGTCTCAGGTTTGCGCTCAAAGTTTGGGCGCCCGCCTTTTTGTTGGGTGCCAAAGACTGACACGTGCAAGCCTCTGGGTTCAAACCGGTTGAATCATATACTTGCCAAGGATCCGACCAACTGCACCACCTGTACCAGTGCTTCTGTCACAATCTTGAGGTGAACTGGGATGCGTAGTTATCTTTGAACCTGTTCCTTCCTTCAACTCGCACCAACGTTTGTGGGCGTTGGCTTTCTGCCTCGGTTCTGTTCTGCTTTCGTTTGGGACATATTGCTTTTGGCCCACAAAGAGTTTCTCATTCACAAGATGCAGGGGCCGATGTAGCCCACGACAGGACGAATTTGTTTATGTGGCAACCATACGCGCAGGAGAGAGGGCACATATATGGCCATCACATTCCTCAAATCAAACAAAACGAAATGATATCAAATCAAACAAATCAACATAGTATTGAATTGCAATACACATATACATACACCTATCATATGCAAATTTAGACAACATAAAATGCCATACAGATATATATATATATATTATTAAGACTAGAAGGTGTTTTGTGTTATGAATTCATGGATATTAATTGATGGTGTTTGTGTATAAATATTTTGGATGCGATAGAATATATTTATGTATATGATAAGGGGGAAAAAACAAGAACATGTTATATTTGTATATATATGTATATATTGTTATTTTTGATGGGTTGAATTGGGATATATAATGGGTTTGGAATGGTATGGAATTTGAATTTATTATATGTTTTTTATAGTTTATGGTTTAATGGGAAACAAACAATAATGAATTTTATGATATTGATAAAATTGAATGAAATATATAAAATAGATATTTTTATTATTAGTTAATTATCGTTGGCATGTTTTGTTGGTTACTCGGTTGAAGTGGGGGGGGGTGAGGGATATTGTTATTGTATGAGAAATGTTGTGGTGTGACTGGATGTAATGTATGGCTCTTATTTTTTATTTTTTTTTTTTTCCTGTTTTATATATTTTATAATTAGTCGGTCTTATTTTGGCTTTGGTTCGGTCTTAGCACTCCGTTATAATTATAATCCGAATAACTTGTTTATGTTTGATTTTCAATTTCACATAGATGATGCTATTGGTATTTTATTAAAAGCAATTTTGGCGATGATTGTTATTCTCGCGTGTGGTATGATTGAGGTACGGAGTTATGTCGAGCTTAATGTAGGGTCGTCGAGCGGTTAGAAAAAAGGGTTGTTTGAGGAAGGCAAAAACAAGAAATTAGGTGAATGGAAATTAGAGAAGTAATTTATTGGCAACCTGAGGATGTTGGTGGAGTTGGACGTGGCTTCGAGCTAGTAATTGTTGTATGAGATGGGTCGGTGATGGAATGGATTCATAGGTAGCTTGTGTACAACGAGAGGCCCGGTGTGTACAACGAGAGGCCCGGCAAGATTCGTAGGATGCGACACACAAACGCATATGGTGGCATGGCAAACCTTGAAAAATGAATAACGAGAGACGTTAGAAGCTGTCTTAAAACACCTCTAGGTTCTGCATACTGCATGTGCAAAGATTCTTGCGAGGTGGTTTACTAAGAAGACTGAGGTCTCAAATGAACAAGCTGAATCGGTGGAACATATACAAGTTCGTAGTACCAAGTCCAAAACGGGCAAATCGAGACTGCTGAACACTGAGCTACTGCCTGGGAGGGGGGATGGACCAGGGAGGAATCGAGCCTAAGACCCAGGGGGGGGGGCTAAATGATTGATGTTTTTCAATCTTTTCGGCTTAAATAATTGAAAAAAATCAATCTTTCGGCATTTGAGCCCCATACCTTGCTTACGCAAGGAGAAACTTCAGCTAGCTAAAGCTAGCTTTCGTGAATAGCATCATTTGTGTGAAATTGAAGGTCAGACATGGGCAAATTGCTCGGGCTGCAGCTGCAAGGGAGTGTTAAGACCAGACCAAGGCCAAAATGAGACCGGCTGGCTGCGGGGTGTACAAGACAGGAAAAGAAACATGAGAGCCATACGTTGCATCCACACGCCGCAAGAGCATAGTAAAATGAAGGAGTGTGTTTTGAAGAATAGATCTTCTCCGTTCTCCGAGCTATCTGCCTCGGCCACAGCGCCAGACAGACGCCGCAAGCTGCGAGCAGTGGGAAAGGCGCAGCAACAACAGCACGAACAAAGACATCCAGAACGCAGGAGCAGCGAGGATAGGTTCAATGTCCGTTCTCCGCGGGTTTGCCGAGGGAGCGGCCTTTGCGCACAAAAGAGAGACGATAGATGCAGATGGGAAAAAGAAAGCAAGACACAGAAGATATGGAGGGGAGGGGGAGAGGGGGGGGGGGAAGGGGAGGGGGAGGGGGGGGGGGGGGGGGGAGGGGGACAAAAATCCGTCGCAAGGGAAATTTAAACAACAACAGAAACAAGAACAACAATATCCACAAAACACGCTAGCAAGCCGGCGGATATTTTTTAAATTATATAAATGTTATTATTTGTAAGAATAATATATATAATTTAATTGTTTTTTTTTTTAATTTATTGTATTGTAAATAGATTTTATGTTGAATTTGTGTTTGTGATGTTTTTAATTCTTTGGAAATTTAATAAAGAAAATGGTTAATCATTTTGTGAGAGTTGTTTGTTAGTGGTTTGAACAGTTTGTTAGTGGTTAAAGTAGTTTGGTGTTTGTTGAATATTTTGTTGATGTTTTGTTGAATATAAATTGGATATATATTAATGGATTTTATTGAATATTTTGTTAAATTCATTTTATATAATGATTAAAAGGACAAAATTGAATTTAAGGAATTTATTTTTAAAAATTATAAATTTATGAATATGTATGGGAATTGTTCGAAACAAAATATATTTATTTAAGAAAATATGTTTTATTAAAATATTATTTATAAAATATTATAATATTTAATTTTATTTTAAAAAAACCTATTACTTATATATTAAATATAATTTATTTTAATATAATGTATTAAGGATTTTATGTTCTTTATAAATCTTAATTGATTTTAAAATAATTAAATAATATTAGGCAAAACACCGATTAATTTCCTCCAATAATCGTTAATGTGTTTTTTAATTTGTGGAATTATTTTTGGATATTATAAATTCTAAAATAATAAATATATAAAACATTATAAATTATTAAATTAAATATAATAAAAAATAAAATAAAAATTTATTAGATTATAATATTAAGGGTAAAAAACATAATAATATAATACCAACACAACATATATTGTTTTAATAATCCTTATTTTCTTAAAATAATTTCGAAAATATTCAATCAATCATAATTAATAAATATATAAATAATATTAAAAAATCCATTCTATTAATATATTTTAAATATTTAAATATATATTAAAATTCATATTCCTAACAATTAATATTATATTTCCTAATGTTTCTATATTTTCCTTAATAAATAATTTCCTCTCTATTTATTCTTCCGAATTATCAATTCATAAAATAACAAATCCACAACACTTGAAATTTAATTTCCCCCTTTTTATACAAAACCTCCTTATCCCCAATAACAACCAAATCATATATTTTTTTAACCAAACAAAATACCAACTATAAACAAACCAAAAACTTTTATCAAACAAAAACACAACCTATACATTATTTATAAGATTCAAGAAAAATAACATTTCATAAATCAACTTTATAATAGAATGCAATTACACTATATAATCATACAATTTTCTATCAATTGGTCGACCCTGGTGATTGCGCCCACCAGCCTTGGAGGGAGACGAGGCCGTATTTTCCAAGAACCAAAATATGGGGGCCTTGATGGGGGAGCGTGCCAAATGGAGTCCGTGAATTTCTTCTTCAACAATCATTCGTGGCAAGCTTTCGCATGCTTTCTTGTCGACAAAGACTTTTTCACAAACGCAAGCAATGCGTGGGTTGCCGGGGGTTGGCCCGGGACGACGGCCAGTTGGAAGTGCATCGGAGTGGCCAGGTGCTGAAATGTGCCGCAAATGACTGCATTTTCAAGCATACCTCCCAGGAATGTTGCCTGCCGAGCCCTGCAACTTCGCGTACCCGAGATAAGAACTGGAGTACGCTGCGTTCACACCGCCGGCGCCAGCTCCCCTTCAGGAGAAACAACGCAGAGGATCCAACTTGTCTTGGACATGGAGCCTGTGCAGAGTATGTGTGGAGCATCTTCTCACATGGCAGACAAACCGCGGATGTGCGCGCTGCTCGTGCGACCGCCTGCGGGAAGTGCGTGCGTCGAAGCTGTCGCTTGAGATTCGACGCAAGCGGCTCCCCACGTTGGTCTCCTCCGACCAACGTTGTCTTGCTGCCACTGGCCTTGTGTGACGTCTCGCGGCCCCGTGCCATCAGCGCAGCGAGGGCCTGCTTCGGAAGGTGACGAGTGCACGCTTTGAACTTGCGAAAATTCTGAAAGCGAATGCCTTGTTGTCGCTGATTCAACTCCAAGGCGTCTCCACGCCTGCATCCGAGCCAATGATGTGCCTCTTGGCACGCAGGACCGCCGATGCCCAGGGCAAAACTTCCTTGGTGCTCTCTGGAGGTCCCGGCGCCCCTTCGTAGGAGCTCGAAGTCTAGCTGTGAATCTGCAGCATGACTTCTCGAACTGCCGCCCCTGTCGGGTCCGGG